AGCGAACCCGGTATGTGTTCGCTCACCTCCCGATCTACTGAGACGACCTGTGACAGTCTCATTGTCACAGGTCGGCTAGAACTATGAGGTGAGTGGAAATCACTCACCTCATAGTTCTCCTTTAACTGTGAATGAAAAGCAGGTTACTGCTTTGCTGGGCTCAGGAAGTTTAGTTACTCTGGTTAAAGCTAAAAAGGTTGTCCCAGTGAACTGCAAAGCTAAAAAGGTTGCTGTAGTGTGTGTGCATGGTGATACTGGCAAGTATCCTACAGCAACTGTAAAGTTTGGAACCGCACGGGGTACTCTGATGCACTTGGTTGGGGTTGTGCCCATTTGGTGCATGATGTAATTATTGGGAGGGACTCCCTTCAATTTTTGGGACTCTGGAAACACCAAGACTGTTCCACACTGTGTAAACCAGAGGTTGGTTGATGAGAGTCCATGGCTGACACAGAGGAGCTGTATTCAGAGGATTCCACTTGGGGATCCCAGGACTCTCCTTTCTCTGTTTTGGCAGGAGAATTGGAGGAATCTGATGTACAGCCAATGAGAGTAGCAGAGAAAAGACCCTACTCTTGTGAGGGCTCGGAAAAATGTTGTTCTGATCAATGATGAGCCTGTCGAACTAGGGGGTAGGCTATCTTTCCCTTATTTCATTGGTAAAGATGACTTGCTATATCGTGTGTATAAAAAGAACAATTAAATTATTGAGCAGTTAGCGGTCCCCAAGCCGTACAAAAAGGAGGTACTGGAACTTGGCCACGGGCACCTATTGGGGGGTCATTTGTATACTGAAAAAAACACTGAAAGATCTTACAGAGGTTTTACTGGCCTGGGGTACAAAAAGACATTGAAAACTATTGTAAATCATGTGCTGTTTGTCAGATGTCTGCACCCCAGCCTCACTTTCGGAGTCCCTTTGCCTTTGCCAATTATTGAAGTGCCTTTTGAAAGAATTGCCATGGACCTTGTGGGCCCACTTCCCAAGTCTGCCCCGAGGCCATCAGTATATTCTGGTTATGCAGCCCCAGACTTGCAAGGAACCTCCACCATGCTTCACTGTTGCTGAGAGCAAACTGCTTCCTGCTACAGCCAAATATTTAAAAATGTGGCTCATCAATCCAGAGCACCTGTGGCCATTTTTCTGTGGCCTTGCGGCCAAAAAGCCATACCTCTGACGTGGAAACAAGTCTAAGCGACTTAACTATGCATGAAAACATAGAAACTGGGGTGCAGAAAAATGGCAGCAGGTGCTATGGACTGATGGGTCAAAATTTGAAATAGCAGGTAGCAGAAGGCAGTTTGTTCACTGAAGGGCTGGAGAGCAGTGCAATAATGAGTGTATGCAGCAACAGTGAAGCATGGTCGAGGTTCTCTTCTGTTCATACTCCTACAATTAATTTACTATTTGATGCACTCATATGTAGCTCCAGGCACAATGACCATCTCAACTCTCGTTAGTATTATCATTTCTCATATTCATTTTCAGATTGCTCTTGACATACAGATACTGTATATCCCTCCAATTTTTCTACCAATATGTCCCTCTGAAACAGAGTGTACCACAGGAAATTAACAGCTCAGTCATGCAAGCTGTCCATCCAGGTTTCTGATACTCCCACAAAGTAAAAATCCTTCTTAAATAACAGAAGTTCCAGCTCATCCATTTTGTTTGCCAGACTACTTCTGTATGTGTACATACCTTTTAATTGTGTTCCCTTGTTTAATATTCTATTGATATTGTTCACTCTTAAATTACCATTTGATTCTGCAACACATTTTGTGTTGGACTTAGGTAATCCAGTTACCCTTCCATTTAGTTTGGGCTCCGCTTCCTCCACTATTTCATCTAGTGGCCTCTTTGAACCTTTCTCTCTATATAGTATATTCTTTTCTGATTCCCCCTCCCTCCAACCTTCAAATCCTAGTTTTAAAGCTCCTCAAACCTTTTAACCATTTTACCCCTGAACATAGCTACACTCTCCCTATTTAATAACAATCTTTCCATACAGTAGAGCAAGAAAAGTCAGCCCAGGTCTAAATAAACCAAAAACCCACCTTCTTATACTAGATCCTCAGCCACTTGTTCAGCACCCTTAGCTTCCGCTGTCTCACTGGCGTGGCTGTTGGTATAGGGAGTATTTCTGAATATACCACCTCGGAGGTCCTTTTCTTTAACTTGGTACCTAAACCTCTGTAATAATATTTTAGGACACTCCATCTTCCTCTGACGTTGTCCCTTGTACCAATGTGCACCATGACAGTTGGGTCATCCCCAGCCAACAATCTGTTAACACGCAATGTGCTGACACCAAGCGTTGAGAGAAAGACTGTTTGACAATCACTGTCCTTGTGACAGATTACCCTGATTGTCCTTCTAATTACTGAGTCCCCTACCATCAGCACCTGATCGCATGCTTACTTGAGCAGTCTATTGCTAGTTTATTCTCTAGACCAGGGGTAGGCAACCATGGAACTCCAGCTGTTGTGGAATTACAAGTCCCATGAGGCATTGCAAGACAATGACCGCCACAGGCATGACTTCCAGAGGCAGGATGAGATTTGTAGCTTCACCACAGCTGGATTGCCAACCCCTGCTTTTGATCCAAGAGCTAGACTTCCAAACAAACAGCGTGCTCATATCTTTCACAACCATATCCTAACTAATGCAGTAAAACCTCTTTCACACAGGTGTCTTCAGTTCTGATCGGATTTAATTGTGACATCTGTGTCCGCCCAGTTTTTTCTTAAAGGAGAACTATGGGGTTAAGGCTTTTCCCCATAGTTCTCCTTAGGGTAACGGGAGGACACAAACTAGCGTCCTCCCGGCACCTTAGGCTCATTATACCGCGAGCTGTAGCTGAAGCGGATCCTGACAATTGTGCCGGGATCCGCCCAGCTGCGTGACTGACAGCTGGCTCTACCTATCTAGAGGCAGAGCCAGCTGTACCCGCCCCCTCCCGTTCCGCCAGTCAGCGCTGGCGGATCGGGGATGGGGGAAATCCAGCCCCTCCCCTGTCTCGGCAGAGAGCTGTGACAGGATCAAGAGGTGAGCGAACGCCGGTATGTGTTCGCTCACCTCCCGATCTACTGAGCTGACCTGTGACTGTCTCATTGTCACAGGTCGGCTAGAACTATGAGGTGAGTGAAAAGCACTCACCTCATAGTTCTCCTTTAAAGACTGAAATTACCAGACCCCATGTTGGTTTAAGGGGAGTCAGATGAAATGGACTTGTGTCAGTTTATGACAGATTATCGCGATCCAGCACCATCAGGTCCGCCAAAATGGAACTCTTTACATCAGGGGGTTACCTGATGTAAACAGACTTAAGATGGCCATACACTTTACAACCCTCGCAAGACTTTTGTTGTAAAGTAATTAAAAAAAAAACGTACGATTTGCCCATCTTGGACGGGCAGATCGTACTTGCGATCATCGCAAGCCCTCCCCGCTAAGGGGCAAGCTTCCGATGACTGCAAATTGGCAGCGTGCGCACACCGGCCCGTTCGGCAGTTGTCGAACAAGCAGGCTACTAACTCACCGATAATCGTACGATTCCCGGTGGGTCTTCCAGCCTGCCTTGTTCAACGGAAGACGTGCGACCGTACAGTAGAAACGGTTGCACGCCTTCCATACACTTTGCGATTATCGTACGATCGCGGGATTTCCCGCGATTCTCGTACGATAATCGTACAGTGTATGGGCACCTTAACACTCGGTTTTCCAATGAAGCGGTTCACAAAGCGTATTGTCGCAGCTGATTCAGCACAACAAAAAGCTTCCCCCCCAAAAAACACATTAATTCTTATGGCCCGTTCACACCTGAGTGTTTTGTCGCAATAAGCAAAACGACTGTCGTGGAAAAAGTACATGAGCTTCCTTTTGGCAGATTACAGCTCGTTTTGTAACCATAGAGTCAATAGGAAATGTTTGCAAACAAGCGTTGCAATTGCTTTTGCGTGTTTTTATGCGCAGTTTTGCCATTTACGTCAAGGTATCACAATCTGCTGACTTAATGTGCGCAGGATTTACATGCATAAAAATGCAAAACATGCAGCACGTTTCTACATGAGAAAACGCTGTCGCCTAGGTGTTACTCAGGCCTGCTCAGACCACAAACAGTGCGTTCCAGAGCGGCCAGGCTCTGGAACGCACTGCTGCTGGCTCCCTGCCTTCAGGTGCTGGAGGGGGCGAGGCGGTGCATTGAAGTCAATGGCACCGCAGCTACACACCCCGCCTGTACCCGAACGCGTGACACGTTAGTGCCTGTGTTCCGTTCCAGTGCGATCTGAAAAATGCTGCAAGCCTGACCGCTCTGGAACACACTGTGGTTTGAACCAGCCCTAAGTGCTACTACCAAGAACAGATTACAATTTACTAAAGTAAACTGGCTAATTGGTTGCTTTGGGTTATTGGAATCAGCTGAAATAAAGATGGTTATATTGACCATATTTTTTTTAATCTTACCTTTTATTTGATTTGATGCTGAAAAGGATTGTTTAATTCAAAACCAATAGAAAAGTTGTCTGCGTTGATCCGATCACGTTTAATGACAACTTTGATAAGTTGGCTTATTGACACATTTGCTCCAAAAGTAAATGCATTGAAATGATCCACAGATAAATAAAGTGTTTATCTAAATGTCTAGAATTTTCCATCCATCTGTTCGTTTTTGGGTGAAATGATAAATATTTGCTAGGTTTGATTAAAATACTTAGAAAAGTGTTTTCAAGTTATCCTATCTGCATGTGTGTAGCCGGTAAAAGATCAGATCAATGTATTTTGTAATGTAAGTAGTAGACGAAAAATTTTTTCATTTGATTTAAAATAATCTGTTCAACAGATGTGCGGAAAATCTGTGGAAGGAATTCCTAGGTACTGGAGCTCAGGAGATCACCCGTCTGTGTTATGAAGGATTATCGCCAAAGACCAATCTCCACGTTCCCTCAAAAAACATGGCCGCTCAAGTCACCTTCCCAGCGTCACATGACGCTCCAACCCACCAAGCAGGCTTGCAGTTCGGTCCAGCTGTCATTCAGCAGGGCCCCCCTCCTCCTATCACGTGTCCCCGCGGCAATCTCTCCGCCCCCTGATCCTCGGTTGAGCCCGTCCCCAGCCTGCCAGTGAGCGTCTCAGCCATGATGGTGAGTAGCGGAGGGGAGGGCAAGTGAATGGCGCCTCTGCAGGGCATAGTGCTGGCTGTCTGACCCAAGGGGCCCATGCGAGGAGGTATCGGAGGTTAACAACGATGTTTTGTTGTCTCTTTGCAGCAGGAAGGCCTGGATGATGGACCCGACTTCCTGTCAGAAGAGGACAGAGCGGTAAGTGGCCACATACCCTTATCATGGCAGACTGGACCCTCCCAGGGTATGGCTGTACCAGTGGTTGGCAGATGACAGGGAGAAAGGCAACATCCAGATGTGCAGATGATGCTCCTCATCCATTGGTGCTCATGGTATAGACTGCTCCTCATCTACTAAGCTCCCTGCCATAGACTGCTCCTCATCTACTAAGCTCCCTGTCATAGACTGCTCCCCATCCATTGATTCCCCCTGCCAGGGACTGCCCCTCATCCATTGATTCCCCCTGCCGGGGACTGCCCCTCATCCATTGATTCCCCCTGCCGGGGACTGCCCCTCATCCATTGATTCCCCCTGCCGGGGACTGCCCCTCATGCATTGATTCCCCCTGCCGGGGACTGCCCCTCATGCATTGATTCCCCCTGCCGGGGACTGCCCCTCATGCATTGATTCCACCTGCCATGGACTGCCCCTCATGCATTGATTCCCCCTGCCATGGACTGCCCCTCATCCATTGATTCCACCTGCCATGGACTGCCCCTCTTCCATTGATTCCCCCTGCCGGGGACTGCCCCTCATCCATGGATTCCTCTTGGCATAGACTGCTCCCCAACCAGTGATACCCAGAACAATGTTTTGTACACAGTATTCACAGGGTTTCCAGATATCTTAAAGCTTTTAGGCTCCTTTCACATCTTGTTGCAATGTAGGTGTTCTGCGGTGCCATTATTTCTTAACGGCGCTCCAATGCACCTAGGGATAACTTGTGTTGTATTGCACCACATCACACGTTATCCTGTTACCATGCAATTTAAAGAAAAAAAAACCAGTCAAACACTTTGAGTGCAAATCTAGCTGCAGCAGACAGCCTATTGATGGCAGTGCACCACAATGTACCCTGCAGCAACTCTGTAAAGTTACATTGCAGTGGTGTGAATGGGGGCTTATGCTGGGATCTCACTTTCATGTTGATACAACAAGCACTATTGCACTATGTGTGCAGTGCGGGGGCATTCATTTTTAGCCACTCCCGGGAAGGACAGGTCAACCTGTCCTTCTCTATGGGAGTACGCCGCCCTACGCTCACCCAAACTGCATGTCCGTGTATGTGTCCGTACTCGTACGCTGACGGGATGGATCCTAACTGCGTCCGAGCAGGGACACCCGCACGGACGTGCAGTTCGGGTGAGTGTAGGGCGGCATATGGCCGCGTACAGAGAAACTGGCTGCTGCGTACAAATCACACTCGCCACCTGTCCTTCCCGGGAGCGGCCCGATACGGCCGTGCACGCAGCAGTCTTCAACTTCAGCAAGCTTCAAGCAGTGCTGAGGCCTAAGGGAGATTGCTAGCAGCCAGTAACAATCAACATTTCTATGTGCTAAAGCTCTAAAAGCTTGATGTATGTTATGTTCTTATAAAAGCTAAAGCCTGTATGTACAAGGCCTTCCTGAAGATTAATCCTGTACAGTCTCTTTGAGCTGGCCCTCATCCTGCTCTGCTGTGAATAAACCGCTCCGCACCACCACTGGATGGAGAAACTGAAGACTGTCATTGTAGTTGCCTGAATAAGCTGCTCCTCTCCTAGGGCTAGCACATTCATGGTAAATAAAGAGGTTAAAGTAGTTCTAAAGTCCCAGCAAATACTATCCTATTGTAACATCTGCATTGTAATAAGAATTCATACTATAGTTTTTGATAATGGAATCAAAGCTTACTTGAAAAAAATCCTTTAATGTAGTGAGTGATGCCTTCTGTCTGCCCATCACTTTCATCAACTTCCTGCATACTCAGTGTGCTCTGCATCTCTTTACCTGCTGCCTAATGGGACACAATCTTTATTTCTCAAGATTACATATCCCAACATGCATTGATTTCAGCAAGCCATGATAATGTTACATTGTTCAGATGTTGAGTTGTAGCTCTGTGAGAGTTGTGACACAAGTGCATATTTACAGGGCAGAGTCAAATTGTCAGTGGATTGAGGAAGTGTGTTCTATGGGCATCTTCATTAAGTAAGTTTACAAACCTTCATATGGTTGAGTTGTATAGAATATATGGAAATTCAGTAGGGATGCACCGATACTAGTATCAATATCGATGCCGAGTATTTGGGCGAGTATTTGTACTCGCCCAAATGCTCCGATGCCTAGCCCGATACCTCCTGTATCAGGAAGCCTGGCAGCGCATCATTACACACTGCCCGGTTTCCTGATTGGCTGGAAAGTGTCTCCATGCTCTCTCGTCACTTGTGATGAGAGAGCATGGAGCCGACTTCCCAGCCAATCAGGAGCCCGGGCAGTGTGTAATGACGCGCTACCCGGCCTCCTGATTGGTTGTGAAGTCGGCTCCATGCTCTCTCAAAAAAATTATCTGTACTCGGTACCAAAATACTGGTATCGGTGCATCCCTAAAATTAGGTATAGAAATATACTGTATATTTTAAATTTTTGATCATAGATACCCCTTACAGTAGCCAGGAGACTGTGGACTATGCATCTTAAAACAGAAGCAGGGAAGACTGAGGACCCCTTTTAATTTTAAAGAGGAACTGTACCCATACCTTTTTAAAAATGACAAATATACCTTCATAAATCTGCAAACTGATACTTGTAGATAATTGCAGGATTTATACTCCATTAGCATACCTTATTTTTCTTTTCCTCCCCAGTCTTCTCATGGTAGCCATTTTGACTAAGGGCAGATTAATGTATCTCCATTTACTTCCTGGAACTCTTGCACATGTGACCATGCACATCTCAGGGGAGGAAAATGCCTTTCCCCGAGATCTCATGACATTACAGATGAGATTTCCCAGCAATGCTCTGCTAATGTAAACTTCCCAGGATGCAAAGCTTGGGCACATTACATCGATAATACCCAAGAGGACCAGGAAATGGAAAAACAATAATATGTCAAATCTGTTGAACTAATGAATGTAAGATAAATTCATATCCGCATGCAGAGCTTACTGATGTGATTTTTTTTTAGTGAAATGGAGTAAAGGTCTGCTTTAGAGCTGGTCACATAAAACCAGAATCTTAATAAATTGTATACACAGACAAAAATATAAGGAACTAACATGACGAGAGCCTGTGATGATGTTAAAGTGGATTTCTAAAGAAACTGCATTATTTATGCCTATTTTTCTCACTTCCTTTCAGTGACTAATTTACAATGCATACATCTAGGGCTGCAACAACTAAGCGATTATAATCGATAATGAGATTAGTTGATGGTTCGATTATTTGCAGCAGCTCTGCTCCTCCGTTCTCCTCTCCGCTGGAGCTGGCTGAAAGCTGTTTGTGTCCCATTTAATCCCCACTGTCTCCCCGCCTGTATCGGCTGAGGGGCAACTCGGACCACTGCAGCCAGCATCAGCGGGGAGGAGAGACTGCAGTGAGTCTGCATTCCCCTGCTGTCCCCCCTTGTACTTCTTCTATCCGCCCCGTTCCTCCTCCTGCCCCCTCTTCTGCCGGTGTTCTATCAATCCCTCGGATTCGGTGCCTTGCGCTCCCGTGCGGACGATTGCATTGCGGCCGGAGGGCGTGGCTACGGTGCCATTCACTTCAATGGCCCTCCACACCCACTCCTGCCCCACTAAAAAGCTAGCCGGCCGCAATGCGAGGCAGTGCGTTTAGGCCAGAATCGCCCCGGAACGCACTGCCTACAACCATTGCACAACTTTTTTTGTCCAGACATCTCGCACTCGTTCAATTTTCTTACAACTAGCCCATCATACACAGAACCAATGTAGTTCGCAGTTAACGCTCGTCAGCACCACCACCTTGTCAGTTTTTATCGATTGAAAGGATAGATTTTTGGTTTGAGCATGTGCAGTTTGCATCTTGAGATTTTTGTTGTACAACGCTACTAACCTGTCAATTTTCGTCCAACTAGACAAATGTTTTCTAGCCTGCTTGAAAGACAAAAGTCTGCCAGTTGTACAGTAATTGAGGTTGTGCGATCCCTGGTAGATTTTCAGCCGAAAATGCAATCACAAAAATCTCCAGATAGTTGTAAGGTGTATGGGCCCCTACACTCACCGGCCACTTTATTAGGTACACCTTGCTAGTACTGGGTTGCACCCCTTTTGTCTTCGGAACTGCTTTAATTTATGGCTTTGATTGAACAAGGTGATGGAAACATTCCTTAGAGATTTTGGTCCATACTGACATGATAGCATCACACAGTTGCTGCAGATTTGTCAGCTGCACATCCGTGATGCGAAGCTCCACCAGCCTGAACCGTTAATACAAGGCAAGAAGGATCCATGCTTTCATGCTGTTTACATCAAATTCTGACCCGACCATCCGAATGTCGTAACAGAATTTGAGACTCATCAGACCAGGCAACGTGTTTCCAACATTCTATTTTACAATTTTGGTGAGCCATTGCAAACTGTAGCCTCAGTTTCCTGTCCTTGGCTGACAGAAGTGGCACTCGGTGTGGTCTTCTGTGGCTGTAGCCCATCTGTTTCAAAGTTCAATGTGATGTGTGTTCAGAGATGCTTTTCTGCATACCTCGGAGGTAACGAGTGGTTATTTGAGTTACTGTTGCCTTTCTATCAGCTTGAACCAGTCTGGCCATTATCCTCTGACATCAACAAGGTATTCTTGCCCAGAGAGCTGCCGCTCTCTGGATATTTTCTCTATTTCTGACCATTCTCTGTAGACCCGAGAGATGGTTGTGTATGAAAACCCCAATAGATCAGCCGTGCCATGTTCAAAGTCACTTAAATCACCTTTCTTCCCCATTCTGATGCTTGGTTTGAACTTCAGCAGACCATCTTGACCATGTCTACATGCCTAAATAGATTGAGTTACTGCCATGTGATTGGCTGATTAGATATTGTGTTAACGAGCAGTTGAAGAGGTGTACCTAATAAAGCGGCCATTGAGTTTGTTTTACTTGCCTGTTAGAGCATGGGAGCATAAAGATGCAAATTCCTAGAGTATGGGAAATGCTGCATGAGGATACTTTTATCTTCAAGGCTTTACTTCCTTTGAATATCTGAACAACC